TATTCTGGTTGAGGTATTCTGGTTGAGGCTAGGACATGAAGAAATAGTCAAGAAGTATAATTCAACCTTGTTCACTTTTTATTTTATTTCTGGAAAATCTTTCCGTGCCTCATCATTTTATTTATTTGATATAATTTCTTATTCGCTGTGGCTAGAAATCTTTTAAAATATTGCTGATTAAATTAATTATAATAATAATATAATAAAAATTAATTATAACAATATTAAATATTGTAATCTCATTTGAAATGAACGTATACCATTTATTTCCTAATATTAATAATATATTATCCATCAATACTATTTTCTATTTTTTTCCAACATCGTTCAATATTCCTCGTTTGGCTGACTTTACTTGCTGATCCCTTCATCAAAGAGCCTTTTGAGGATAGGAGTAGCGATAGCTTCTCTCCGGCGTAATATCTATGAAATTTTCATTTTGGTATTAATACATTTATAATTATATTATATTAATGCCATTATGCCATTTTAATGTATATCCTTTTTCTTCTCACCATCTCACATCTCACCAATCTCACCAATACTGGTCAGGTTAGCTGAGTACAAGGGTAATACGTTTCCAAGCTGTGCGATGCCATCGCTGGTTGCTGGTAGTAATAGGAGCCATTCTTTTTTCCGCCGTCTAAGTCCATATATCGCTAGCCCTCCTTTACGTTCAAAATCTTTCCTGACTGTATCAGTCCAGGTTTTGACTGCCCCTCTTCGCTTTTGACGCCAACCATCATACGGTTTAGCAAGTAACGAAATATGCGTCAACTCCAGTGGTGGACGACAGAGAACGTGCCCTAACCAGCGAAGGCGACCTCTGTGATTACATTATTAACATAAGTGGTATTTGAACGAAGGTGGGTGCGATCATATGATATTTTTATCCGCACGACGGATCCGTCGAATATATGGTCAAAGGCAGATAGTATCCATTTCTTAATATCCATTTTCATTGACTATGTCTTACAGCCATTGTAGCATCGAGCGAACTACAACTAGGCGAGCTTTCGTTTTTATGGCGACGGTTCCACAAAGCCTTTGTTGATCGGAATTTCCAGCTACCATTATTCCGGTTGTAATTTCGTCTTTTGCCTGGATATTTGGGATTAGAGTGGATCCGAGATATTTAAAATCGCGCATTTCTTCAACCGGCAATGAATTGATAGAATAATTTCTGTACAACTTCTTACGTTGACTCTGAGTGCAAATCTCACTGCAGTTATTTAAACATTGTTTAGCATTATTTGTACTATCTGCAAAATCATCATCAGCGTATTGAAAGTCTGTGACACAGTGCTCCAGAATGCCGACAAGCGATATACATTATCCAGTTTATCGTGTAGTTGAATACCGTCGGGAGAGGAGTCTGCAAATTCCCCATATAAATAGATCCGACATACGCTGATAAAATGTCTTTATGAGTCGAACGATCTCTGGAACACCATCATGTTTCATCACCCTCCAAAGTTCTATCAATTGAATCCAAAGCAGCGTCGATGAAACACATAAGGACGCGGATATCTGAAGCGATGTTGCAACATCCCTTCTTATATATTCTTGAATATTTGATCAACACGACCGCTCCTCGGCCTAAATCCAGCTTGGTCATCCTGCTATCTTGTACTTCCATATATCCCTCCAGATTTTTCTTTTTTAAGACTCTTACCATTATCATTACAGGTTAGACTCACTTCATTGGCACTTGATAAATATGCCAGGGAGTCCCCTTGGTGATAGAAATACAAAGGAATCGCTAGCATCACCCGGATTTTTGGACAAGTTTGCTGTGAATTGGGCAATCCCACTGAGGCATTTTTAAGTTTATTCAGTAGAAGTGAAGCAAAAATTTTTACCGTTTTTATTAGGTTGATTCTAATGTTCTTTTACCTTTCCTAGGAATTGGGAACAGAATTGTTTTGCTCCAGTCGTCTGGTATTATTTCTTTTTTCCATACCAGAGAATACATTTATTGAAGGCGCGTTATGAAGGACGATGGAGTTTGAACATTCGAAGAATTCAGCCAGTTTTATTGGTCTTAAGCTTATGGATAATTATTTCCTCTTCTGTTAGCGGTTTGCAGTTGTGTTAAGTTTGGCCTCAAAAAATTCCTTCCATCTTATGAAGCAACCCTTAATGTCCGTAACAGGTATATCATTATCCCATATTATTTCTATTCTCTGAGTTATACTTGCTTTATTAAGGAGGTATAATAGTTCCCTTTTGCCGCCTAATCGAGTCCCCATCTTCATTTCTAAGGGCATATCATTCTAATTTTTGCCGCACTAAGCTACTATCATTGTAATTCTTCGAAGCGTCCAGTAAGTAGAACTTCTGTCCCGATTATGATCAAAATAAGCAAATTATGCATAGAATTTATCCTTATTACGGTCATCTGCAGATAAAGCGGGTGGATATCATTCGTTTGTTTTCCACTCAAAGCGGAGTGGGCCCTTTCAGATATGATAATCATTACGCCATTTTGCTCCGAGTTATCCAAGACATCACAATGATAAAGCCAATATTCTGCTGGGAGTTTAATAATTTGTTGAAACTCGAAGTGAGAGGACGGACTTCCGACAAGCATCCACACGATATTTAGAAAGAATGTGGATGGTAATCGTTTGGCTTGCAACGTCCATAAGCGTTCTGACTCCACGCTACTATGGTTAACTGGCGTACAGAAGCCGTTCCCCTTGACTTGTTTCGAGCAATTATCCTGCTTTGCGAGCATACTTTATTCACACTCTTTGTGATCATTTTACGCCCAGGTACTTGTATACTTGTCGTATTTACAGCAGGCTTGGAGGAGAGAGTGTCATGCAAGTCGAATCCTTTCATCATTTGGGGATAGAGTTGGAGGTGGATCCCCAGTAGATGAAAAAAATTAAAGGAAAAAAATCAAATTTAAGAAAAAAAACTTATTTTGAGAGATGTTGAATCGTATAGGCTTCCAGAAATATTGCATAAATAATAAATATATAAATGTATAAATAATAAATAATATTAATATTTAATAATAATGGATAATCGATAATAAATATTTTATAAGCTCTCAACCGATCGATCTTGATCCGCTCACTACCGAAAATTCAGAGACGTGAAGCCGAGTGAGGGTTCTGCCCAGTATCTTAGCTATCTTTTATATCCTACTCTTTTGAGGCAGAGATCTGTTGCTCCCGGAATTTACCTACACTTTTCCAGTTTAGGCCCTCAGTGTGATCCTGCCATTATTCGAACTTCTTTAGCCTTCACTTTCCACATTTTTAGTACCTCTTTCCCTAGTTTTTTTCTAGCTTAACTTGATGTCATCCAAGTAGCGAAGCTGGCTGATGGTAGTTTCGCTCTTGAACTTGTGTTTTTATACACTTCTTGTAATTATCTGGCTTTGAGGGCTTGGGCCTATGCGGAATAATAGCAGGATCAATGCATCATCGCCTTAATATTTGGTGTAATTTGATAGTCACTTGTGCAAGCTGTCTTTTAAGTTGTCTTCAAATGTCGCTTTCCATAATGCCACTTCTCTTGGAATTTCTCTAGGAACGTCTGTTGATGAATCTTTAGGCTTTCCCAAATTCGATCCGTATTTAGATTATCTTTCAATGAGCAGTTGTGCTTTTGAGCCTTTGCTATAGTTACCAGTACTCTTTTTGTACTCAGAAAATGATATGAAACTCATATGGTTTTGTCATTTGATCACTGATCGGAGGGCAAGTTATTTTTCGATAGTTATGCGGTGTTGCTTCCTGTTAGGGTTTTTCATGATCATTAATTTTCATTCATTCATTCTTCTTTCATCCACTGCTGGTTCATTTTTCTTTCATTCATGGATAGCTTTTTAGTTATTAGGTGTGGGTCATTTAGGTTTTGTCCAGCTTTTCATATTTTTAATTATTGAATATCTACTGTTGTGATTAGTTCCTGTTTTGGGAGATTTTGGTAGACTGCTGTAGCTTATTCTCAGGCCTCACAGCCACTTTGCATTGGTCATCTTTTTCATAAATTCATCCAGTAGGTTCTTTGGAAAATAGCATTTTTTTTAGCTTCTCTTTTCTTATCACCTTAACTTAATGGGTAGCGGTGTGGTTCTTTGTTATATTAGTTTCTGATGGAATGTACTCTTTATATTTTTCCGTAGCCGAATCTTTTCCTGGATTTCCACACCCTTCTGTAGTTCTTAACTACTTTACGTTATGCTTTGACCTTATTCTCCAGCCTTTTTCGGGAGCGGCGTCCATTGCCATTTTTTTTGATTCTAAGTGGCGCACACCAGTTCATTGGTTTCTTTTATGGTGGTTATAGGAATTGTTATGAGGAATTTATTCGCATCTTCAAGTGGAGGATATGGTGGATACTTAGAATTGATTACCGCAGTTCATTCATAATTTTTTGTATCATCTCAGCTGCTTTGGAGATATTGAAAGGAAATTCCCAGGTTGCTGTGTACATTCAGTGTTATATACATAAATATCCTCTAATCTCATGGATCATTCATATTTTCAAGCAACGTGCTTCTTTATTCAAGTTTTTGTTTTATCTGTCTTTTTCATGATATAAAATATTTTTAAATATTTAAACTGTTTTGTTGCAGAAGCACTAAATAATTTACTGAGGCCCATTTCACTGAAAAAAAACAAATATTTTCAAAGTTTTCACTAGATTTCGATTTGAAATTAAATAAAGCTATATCAGACATGTTGTTAAAATTATCATTGGCTGTTTTCGGCACTTTGGCTTTCTTCGGTTATCTGGCCCACAGAAAATTGGCAGCTGCAGAAGCAGATAACCAGTGTGTCCGATGTTTTTTTATTCCTTTAATGTAAAATGCCAAAGAGAAAATTTTATTATTTTTTTATTTATTATTTTTTATTTATTATTTATTATTATTTATTATTTTTTTACTCCTCAAAATTTTCAATATAATTTTTTCAGTTTATGGCCGCCTATATACTTAGTAGTTTTTTCTCAATGACTTTTCATTTCAGTTTTAAATGATGTTTCGTTGTTCGTTGTTTGGAATTTTGGGGCTTCTCGTCATGTCTTCTTGTAAGTTTCTTGTCGTTTTTTGCTTTTATACTACTCAATTTTCGATTTCTTTCCAATTTTTCTTGTAAATCATGCTCCAAATGAATTTTTCCAAAAATCTTCTGAACTCTGTTATTTAATAAGCGCCATTTTAAAGCCAAAATAGTCTAGTGTTCGCATATCAAATAGGAATAATATGTTTGTGGCTTTCAAATTATCTAGAGACTGCTATGCGTTCCAGGTTATCCAGGCTTTTTGTTTCGAATTTTGAAGTAAATAGCTTTTCTTTCGGTCAGAGCTACTTAAATGTTTTTTTGTAATCCATAATTGTAATAATTCATAATAGAACTGAAATTTTTTTATTATTTTATTCGTATTGTATATTGTTAATTCTTAAAACAAGTCTTTTTGCTGAAACATTTTTTTCTTTTTTTCGATGTTTTTTATATTTATTCTTTATATTTATCTTTTTTATATTTTTATATTTTTTCGATTTTCCTCGTTTGAATTTTGCTTTGCATAAGGTAGTTAAAGGTGCCTTTTGTAAAGTTTTATGCATTTAATGTTTAACAGCCGTCAGCGCTAGCGATTATGCTGATGATGCTGATGGTGAAGTGGAAGAAGAGATTGAAGAAATCAGTCAAGAACAGGACAGCGCGAACATTGCAGCTTCTGAAACAGTTATCTATTTCCATAATTTTTTTATGTATGCGATTTTTAGCACACTTTTTTAATGCATTAATTTATTTTTTTTCATTCTCTGATTATTGTTTTTAGGAGTCAAAACAAGAAGAAGAAGCACCGAAAATTGGACCGTCGCCTGATGTCTTCTTGGTTCATCTATTTATACAACCTGAAAATTCAAAAGGTTCATGAGTGGATTTTTTCTTTTATTTTACTTGAAATATGAATCGTTTTCTATCAGTTCAGATTGTTGACTTCATTTTTCCCTCTAAACATTTACATTGTAATATTTTTAATCTTATTCTATATTTACATCCTATAAAAAATTTACATTGTCGGAGAGTTGAGGTCAGGACTTCTGTGATTTAGAATTCCCTGGAGGCAAGCCGGTCAAATTTTTGTTTGGAGCGCAGAATCGAGGAGAGCGCGATTTCATATTTTCTTCTTGTGAGGCTTCTTTTCGCTATCCTCAAGATTTCAAGTATCGCATTCAAAATGTATGTTAATTTGTTGTCAGTTCAGTTAAAAATAGTTTAATATATGAAACTAATGAAAGGCTCACTATAGCGATGGTGAGTGGAAAACTGAGAAAAAAATTAAAATATTTTTTTTAAATTAAATATTTTTTCTTAGAATTAAAATGAATTAGACAAAATAAAGAAAACAGCTGAGATAATTTAAGTATGTTTTATTTTGGAGATACGTTTAAAAATTTATTTTTAGAATTAATAGGTTAGGTTGAGCTGGAAAGATAGTCCAAAAACGTTCTATTTTCTCAAATTTACAAATATTGAATTCAGATCCCAATATGCGCCCTTGTCGTACTCTTTCAATTCAGATTTTCACTATGGTGTTTAGTATCTTCTCAACCCAGGAAGGCGGCCGACAAATATATAGATGTCTGATATGTTTGATTGTGTATTAAGAGGAATTTTAATGAATATGCTTTTTCAGTTTACTAAGATGCTGTATAATCGAGTAGTCGCACCAAAACAAGAGGCAACATTCGATTATGCTTTTTTCGCATCAGAACAATATGCAGGACGCCCAGTTGGTCTTGTTGTTGAATTAAATTATGAAGATTCCGAGGGAACCTCATTTGTCAGCACAATTTTCAATGAAACTGTAGTGATCACTGAAGATGACACAAGTTTCAATACTGAAACAGGATTTCTTTATATAATCTTCGCTGCCGTGGTAGTTCTAACATTACTTGCTGGTCAACACTTTTTGTCGAAAGTATTTTTTCTATTTCTTTTTGATATTATCTTGCTATAGGAAAGTTAATGAATTTCATGAAATCAAAATTAGAAAATTAAATTCGTTATCTTTCGTCAATATTGTTTGGATTAGGAAAGGGTTTTGACAAAGAGCGAGTGAAATACAAAATTTGAACTTAATTTAAGCTTACACGTAAACATGGTATGGCAAAGACCAAACATTCTCAGTACATTGAAATGGGAACAAATAAGAATGAAGTTGACTTCGAGTGGATTCCTCGAGAAGTTATCAAACAATGTAATAAAATTTTTATAAAATTTTATGCGATTTTCTATTTTCAAATCAGAATCATTGAATTAATGTAGAAAATGCTAATTTATTTATTTTTTTTAATAAAGATAGTTTTCAGCAAAATCTCCAAAAACGGCAACTGCACGTCCACGTAAAGCACTCCGTGCTGAGTGAAAGACTAAAAATATTTTTGTATAAAATAATTATATTGATTTGATGCAATAGGTACATTTTCAGTACATTTAAATTTACAGTACAGTTACAGTACATTTCCATTTCTTTGCACAAATACCTTTTTAAACATCTCTTTTGCCTGTACGCCATAATTTTCTTAGTCTTAAAATTAGATATTGCTAAATTTCTTAAATTCTTTACCTTTTTTCCATTCGACTTTTCTTCCTAGTCAGTTGTAAACAATCAGTTATGAATCTATTTTTTCATAGATTTTCATTAGAGATAATTTGAGTGAGTTTAATTCGAAATACCTCCCACTGTTTATTGTATTCTATTATCTAAATATATTGTATTGAAAATGGCAAATTATTACTCGTGGATACATCGGTTTCAGTTGCTTCTTCATTTGTTGTGAATTGATTTATTGTTTTTATTGTTTGATTTGTTTGATAAATTATTGTTTATTGTGATAAAATGTGCCAAAATTTGATTTGGTGCTTAGAAATTCACGCCAAAATTTCATTTTCACAGATTATTCAGCTGCACCAAATATTTATTTTCATATTTTATCAGATTTTGCGTCTTTATGAAAAATATAAATTTACATATTAATTACATCGATAAAGAGAAATATTTTTCGGCGGCGACGTTATTCATAATTAATTTTCATTATACAACAAATTCATTATAAACACACGAAATATGTTGTTTATAATTATAAAATAATATAATCTATATAAATATTTGTAAAATGTTTTAAAGAAAATATAAGGAAATTCAAATTATTCATTTATTAGTTGAGCGAGATATTTTGATTGCGAATTTTTTCATGGAAGAAAAGTCTTTTTTGTATTTTTGGAAAAAAGTTTTCGCGTAAAAAAGATGAATCAAAAAATAAAAATTTTGTGGTCAGTGGTACTGATTGCAAGTTTCTTCGTATTATTGAGGTGTTCATATTGAAAGCCCTCCAGTAATTTATTTCCCATATATCGCATTAATGCGATCCATGCGCCCAGACATGTCGATTCCATGTCATCTTGTAATAAGTCGAAAATAGTACCAACCGCTTCACTACAAAAAAGCCGAATATTTTTTTCATTGAAGAATTTCGAATGCTGAAAAAATTTTCAATAAAAAACACAGAATTTATTTGTTTCGAAAAAGAACAAGCAATAGAGACGTGTCAAAAACTATAATAAAACTTAGAATTCATAATAGTTAAAAGACTGAGGATTGAAATATGTGTCGAAAAATGGACAACTATTCGTTAACTTCGAAGATGAATCGACAGTGGTGGTGGTGAAAATGCCTCATTTTTCGTGCACTTTTTCCATTAGCTGATATTACGAAGGAAGAAAGAAAAAAATCGAGCGAAATGCCAAAAGGAACTAAAGATAGACTAACAGTAAACGTATAATGCCTTTGTCCATAGGTAAATAAAGTCGGAGCTATGCCAGTTTCGATGTCATTAATATTACGCACCTGTAATTAGGACAAATGGGATAAAAATTCACTAATATTTCTGTTATTTATTTATCGAATAAAATTGCCAATAAATTTTCATAAACGAAGTTTTTTTTGCAATGGGCCTTTATTCCCTTAAAAAGCCGATGAATTTTTTCCTCGATTTACGTTTTGGGAATCTAAATCGATCCATTAATTTATTTATCAATGAAATATTTTATATTTCACACAAATCACTGATTTGTGTTTGAAATATTTGAACTAAAGAAAGGTAAAAAAAAGTTAAAAAAAAAAGTTGGAAAATATGAACAATTAAATGCGAAGGATTATTAATCACTCAGTTATCTATTAATTCCTTTCTCTGAAATTTCGGTTTGTAATAATACCTAGCATGGCATTGATAATTGCCTCGGAATTGTAATATTTATTCAGAGCTCAATTAAAAGGTACAATTAATAGGTACAATTATTATAAAAGGTAAAGTTAATTGAGGTACAATTATAATGGATTTTAACTGAATCGAGTGCAGTATATAACCCACGGATATTAATAGGTATTATTATTAAATAAATTTGCAAAGAATTGTTTTCCATAGAAACGGTTAAAAAGAATGCTAGAATTTTAAATTTAAAGAATTTTAAATTTTTCTTCAGGTAATTCCAGAATTTAGGATAAGCCGCCCATCTTTTCTTATTTTCGGTACATAAATAGTTGTAGCAACGAATTCTACTTAGTAAAATTTGATATCTTTCCGCTTGTGGATCCGTATTAGGAATTTCTCGAAAAATTTCCAAATTCTTTGTTGGAAAATCTTTCGAGGACACTTCACTGCTGTTCACTTCTGAGCTTTGCTTCCTTTTTTTTCCATAAGCAAGTTATTCGTCAATTTCAAGAAAAATTGCATCATTAGATTTTACACGAATAATATAGTCACGTATATCGTTAGTGTATCCGGTGTTTTAGGTTATTTTTTCCGGCACTATGTGTACTGTTTGCATTGTAATAACGCAGTTTATGTGCATATGTTATGCCAGCCACCGAATGAAAATAATCAGATCTCAACATAATGAGAAGTCATTGCGAAACACAAGTTATTTGAAGTCATACTATGGTTCTATAAGAATGTATCCACTGCTAATTTTAATGAAATCAATTATAAACCAGTTTATAAATTATAAATCAGTTATGGTGAATCGAATTTCTCCTTCTATATCACCACCATTTTGTTGGTCCCACTGTCTGTTAGGATGGAAAACTTTTAGAAAAGAGTCAACTGAAAACGAAAATGGTTCCACGGCATTCACGAGGAATTTATTTCAGGACATGAACCAAAACATGGTGCCTAATCTCATTTGAAGCAATATGTGGCCATTCTGTCCTTTTAGCAATTGAAATCGCTAGAAACTTGGATAAAACTCGAATCAACATCATTTCTGGGCTCGAAAAATCGATTAGTTTTAATAGTTTTAAATCCAGCCAGAGTTAGTTAACACCTCGTAGACTTTAAATCCTCATTCTATTTAACCATTCCCTTAATTTATCTTCTTAAGTAAAAATTCCAGAAAATTTTGAAAAAAAGAGAAAAATTTTGAAAACAGTACCGTTAAATCAACGACTTCAGTAAATAACTTTGTATGTCGACGTAATAAATGATCAGATGGTGCCTCGTCGATTAATTCATATTCATTAGCTTGAAAAGCTTCTAATAATTGAGGTGCTTTAGTAAATACTCGACAAAAAACAAGCCAACCAAATGTTTGCCTCATGGCATCCAATTTAAGTACCACTGAGTGCCATGATGAACGAATTAATTGCTGTTGCTAAAAAGGATTTTTATTTTAAATGAATGTGAAGGCTAACCGCAATATTTTTCATTCAATTTTTGGTTCATTTTGATAATCTCATATGATAGTTCCGAAGCAAACAAATGGCCTCAAAAAATGCCACTCGGAGTCTCTTCGCAATTTACATTGGATTAATTATTTGAAAAATCCCTCTTTCCTTTTATGCAAATTTATCGTTTACGAACTAATTGCAATTTTTCAGATAGCAAAGGCAGTCAATAAAAAAGCAAAATTTGATTTTATCAAAACAGTCTCCTAATACCAAAAAAATCACAAAAATGAATAAAAGCAATGAAAATTCAAAATTTGAATCTGAAAATTTGATTGGAAACGAAATAAAATCTCACATTAGTGGGTTATGGGAATGAAATTCTGTAAAAAAAATTCATTCTGCGGTTTTCTTTAAATTTTTTTATCAATCAACATTTAACCTTTAACGCTTTTCATGACTAATGGATTCATTTTGGATCTAAAATTTTTTTAAAAAGAGAAGCAGAAGCTTACTTCAGTAGATAATACTTCATCATCTGAAGGTATCGAACGAAACGAATAAATTTTTATTTGTTTTAATGGTGAATGAGATCGCACATGATCTTTAAGTGGTTTGAGGATAACTTCGATGCCACTATGACCACAGTCATCAAAACTTCGAACAACCGAGCTTCCAGAGGAATCTTGGAAATTAATTCTTTGTTGGTACGCACCGCTATGAAAAGTTTCTGCTCTCTTTCCAAAACGTTGCAGCTATAATATGTGTATAAAATTTTCATTTCTACAAAATTATAGGTAATTTTTCAATGAAAAAAAAATTTCAATCAGCTAAAGGCTCAAAAGGTTGAACAAACTCGTTTGTTTTTCCATGAATCAACAAGAGGACGATGGTTCGATTTCGATGCTAGATCAGGAACGCGATTTATTTCCAGAGCTCGATCTCTATCTTCTTCTGGATTCTGTTCTTTGTGCTTTAAACAAAAATTCATTATTCCAGTGCTTGAAGGCTTCAACGGTAATATTCCTATGATCATGACCATTTTTTTAGAATTTTAATAAGTTTTTTACTCATAATTGCTGAAATTTCCGATATAAACGACCTCAATTTATTGAAAATTGATCCAAAACCCCTTCTACATCATCAAATAATCGCAGTTTTTCCCAGTTGTTATTCATTCTAACCAAAACTATACATTTGTCTTAAATTTTAAACTATATATTTATTTTACAATAAGATTTAAAGAAAAAAAATTCTCCAATATGTATTAGGTAATGAAGCGAAAACAAGCAAAGACAATCAGATTTCATGTAATTAAATGAAACAATAGTGAAAACAGTTGTATAGCGACCGTCATTATTATTAGATGGATGGCAGCTATTAGTGAAAAAATTTTATTTAATATTTGATAAAGTGATATTTACAAGTGATACAAAATTGAATTAAGTTATGAATAACGTGGAATGAAAGTTAGATTTCAAAAAATCATTCATAATTTCAGATAAAAACAATCATTTAGAACGTTTATTAGGTGACTTAAGATTATTTCCACCCCACCATACGATTCAAAGTTTCATTAATATATCTCCATGGTTTTCTAGCAAATGGTTAAGAAGATTCATTTTCATCGATTTTAATTTTTTTTATTTTTTTTAGACCTTTTCAAGAAAATTTAATAAAAAAATTATGAAATTATTTTTGTAAATAAAACGATTTGCAGCTGAACAGCCTCATGTTCAGTAAAATATTAATATTAGCAAATAGATTTTAGAAAAAAAAAATAGATGAATTGTTTAAATATGACATGTAATCTGCAAAAAAGCTTTCACCTAGGCAACATATCTTCTATGCTTTACATGTGCAATACCTTTTTCAATTTCCAAAATGCATAGATCCAAATACGTGAAAAAAACGTGAAAACATAATTCATCACTTATCTGATAAGCTAATTGCTAAGTAAGGCAATAAATAAATAAATAAATCATGAATTAAAGTTGATGAATTTCCTCAAATTTTTAATTTGCTTTTTGAGAAGTCGTGCGTTTAGACGAAAATGTTAATATCGCACTTCATTACTTTTAAAAAGGATAATATATCCATTAAAAATTAAAATTAATAAATTGGTTTTTATCAAAATTTGAGGAAATTTATAAAGCGAGTCGCGATGATACTAGTAATTTTAAGAATTTTTTTAACTCCATTATTCTATATAATTTTAATGGATATCAGGTTGAAAATGGAAATATTCCGAAATATCTAAAACTCTGCTGGCTATAAGTAGAGTCAAAAATTTTCGGCGTTTGGCGACGACATAAGTGAGTCACCGCCGCACCTATTTTTAATGATAGGTTTCATTTCTGCCATCAAAAATAATATTTCATTAAGTAACGAACATTATCTTTTACATCATTTTTTTTGATTTATTATTATATATTATTATATATAAGCGTCTGGTTTTTTTGTATAGTATACTGTTTTCTAATTATTTCCTTGATTCTTTCTGTATCTAAATAAAAACAAAAAAAAGAATATTCACAGGAAGTGAAACGAAAAAAAAGCTCAGTGGAATATTTAAAATCAACCTAAAAGATTAATATTTTGAAATCGTGAAAGTAAATACGAAATAACTGATAAAACTTGTATGCATATGTGAATATTGAAAATATATGTAGATTTTGCTAATTAATAAGGAGCAAAGAAGGCTAACAAACTGAAGTCCATTGTCGCTTTATGCGATCATTCAAGCGAATAATTTAATTAATAAAGGTTGTAGTTGTGATGTAAAAACGGCAAAGAGTAAAATCCGAAACGTAACCGTGAAAGAAGAATTATTTACAGGTGATGGAGGAAATAACGAATCATTATCGCTTATTGCGCGTTCCGCTTTCGACAAATTATTTCGTCGAGATGCAAGTGCATTTCCCATTCACATAAAGAAATCTTCAAGCAGAAAACATCAATAAAAGATCTAAAAAAATCATTAAGTTATCTACTTTTTCTTAATAAAGATCGAATAACGAAAGCGAACTAAATAAAAAACGATTCGATTAATTGCAGTCTTCTTTTCCCAGTTTCCTAGTTTGCCTGTGCATCTCGGGACGCTATTTTTTCTCCAGAGAGCCCTTTGGAGATAGAAGAAGAACGAGTAAGGCTAAGTCGTAAGAGTCATTTGAATTTGATAAGTTTACTGCCATCAGGAAGCAAGAATCGTAATAATCCTTTATAACAGCCAAACAAAGTCTTCGAAAACAGGATTTGAAAAGATTTAATTTATCCCAAAAATTTTTATATTACCACTTTTTTCGCCATTTTTCTAATTCTGAAATTTGCATATTTCGTCAAAAAATAGAAATTCAAGAAAAAAAGCAGTGGGTAAAATATAAACGAAATTATTACCTATAAAAGTGTAGTTGTATATTGCAAATCATCTAAATATAATCGTCAAGAAATAAGGGACTTGAAAAAAATCTAAAATCTTTAAAAGTTTTACTTTCGAAATTATTTAACAATTAAGTAAGCATCAATAGAAAACAAAAAAAAAAAATGAAGAAAATCCTTAAACGAGCGAAAAAAAAAGTTTAAGGTTTTAGTTTAGATTCTTCAGGAAATTCTCAGTTTTTTTAAAATTACCATTCTCTTGACATTTTAAGATTTATTAAATTTATCTTTGCAATCTATATAAATATTTTTACATTATTATTTTACGTTATTATCTTTACATTATTTTTACATTATTACATTTTTACATCATTATTTTGACTGAAGAAATAAAATTGCAAATTTAAGTGAAAGAAAAAGATAAATCAGTTCGATATTACGATTAAATCCAAGCAATTGGATAGAAAACATTGGGAAAGCGGCAGATAATCACAGCAAATCTCGAAAGAAGAATAAAAAATCTGATTAAAAAAAACTCAAAATCACTGATAAATCCAAGTCGAGTGAGTTATCGTATATCCATTATGTGCTAAGTTAATGGAAATCTTATCATACAACCACTAATGGTACAATGAGCTGAAATAGGAAAAAAGTCGTAAAATTTGGTTTAAAAAAAACGAAAAACGCCCTCTTATAATTCAAAAACCACGCAGTAGGATGAAAACCAAATTATTTTTTAAAACTATTTTTATTATCTGAAGATTATTAGACCGCAGTCATTTTTACGGAACATTCTGGAACATTTTTTCTACATAATTCTCCATAAAATAATTTGTCGATGAAATAAATTAATTTCATCAATAAAATAATAAATAATAATTAATAAAATAATAAAAAAAGTTGATGAAATAATATAAATAATTACTATTTAGTAAATAATAATAAATAATTACTATTCAGTATTGAAATATTTTTCTGAAATAACTATTATTTATATAGGGAAATATTCTTAATATTGGAACTTTTGGCTGCTTTGGCGACTAATTAGAAAATTTTATTGAAGAATGATTTCAAATTTTCAGAACATCAACAAGCAGAAGTCTGTTATAATCAATTTAGACTGTAAAGAGAAGAGAGCGTGTGTGGTGCATGAATGCCCTTCTACCGAGGATAATATCTGTCTCTTGTTCTTTATTTTTTAAACCTAACGATCTCATTCAATTATGAAAATTTTTAGGATTCAAAATTTCGAAAAATAAATTCACATTTGTTAATAAATTGACCGCAAGTAAGTATTCACACTTTCTATTTCTTGTTAAATTTGCTATTGATGAGACAATTCTGCAATAGACTAGGCTTCATTTGGCATTGCACCACCCAGATCATCTAATTACTTCTGTAAGGAGCAGAGACAAACTTGAAACGATAATCTGGGCAATGCACATTTGGCCAAGTTTCCGGTAAATGGAACATGAGTGTGATATTTTGATTGGAAATTTTCACAAATTGATTTTACGAAGTAAAAAATAATTTAAGAAATTCGAAAAAAAATGCAAATAACAAAATCGAAAAAATTGTTTAATAATTTAAAAAAAGCTTTCATATAAATTAAACCGAAATTAAAAGCCATAAGAATAAAAAATATATAATATAAAAACTCTTTTGCAATTCATCGCAATAGAAAACCGACAAAGGTCGGAATATTAGATTGTGAAAAAAACTGGAAATCGATAGGTCAAAAGGAGATTGAAAGTAAAACTTCTTGCAAATAAAAAATTTAAAATACATTTCGTACTTCTGCAAAAAACTATTAAAGCCAAAAAAGTTCATATCAATCATTTTGTCACAATCTTGGATGCTTGAAGCATCCAGTTATAGCTTTTCGAAACTAGCTTTTCGAAACCTACGCAAGGCCATTTCTTTATGCTTTTTCTTCAAGAATGGTAGGGTTTTAAAAAAAAATATGTCAATAATAATTTATAATTTCCATTTTTATTTAATAAAAACATTCATTCTCAAAATATTGGAAAATAAAAATAAAAGAACATTTTTTCGCTATTTTCGAATATTTTTATTCAGAATTCCACTTTTGCTTAGATTCAATTTTTTTTATTGTTGCTCGAATAATCGTTAAAGGAAGAATAATTTTTAAAAAAATGTCGCTATAAAACCTGCATGCACTAACATGTAATCTAAAACTATTTTAGGATAAAACTAGGCATTTTTTTGAAAATTCTTTGAAACTTAAAAAAATGGTCTAAAAAGTATTTGAAGCCGTATTTCGGCAAGATGATGTATTGAAATTCATTTACTTTATAATATATATAAAATATCATCTTTGCAGAAATGCAAAATCAAAACCGCACATATATATGGACGCATATATATATATATATATATATGTTTATATAATCTCTTTTTCATCTCCTGGTATAAGTGGTAGAAGATGGTATAAATCATCTCGCTAGAAACCTGGGAGCTTGAGAGTTCCATGCAATCTCGCAGTGTTCCTAGCATACGCTCTTCTTGACAAAGATCTCTTATTCTGGTATTTGTTGAAGACATTTTTCTATTTTAGGGTTACATTTCTAAATGCTCCAGTTATCACTGGGACTACTTTTGCCTTTACTTCCTACACCACTTCTTCTTTCGGCACCTGGTAACTTCTAACTTCTCCTATTCTTTCCTAATGTTTCTGTCACTTGGTATTGCTACATCTATCACCAGTGTTGATTTCTGATTCTTGTCTCTACAATATCTGGTTGGCTGGCCAGCATTTGTTTATATATCTGGATGGAAAAGTCATTGATGATTTTTCTCCACGATTTTCTGAAGAATTCCTCATCTTGCGAGAGAATTAGATATTTCTGTAAATAATGCCAGCTACTCGTTTATGCCTTTCATTGTGTGTTGTTCCTGTTTGCATTCCACATCTTGTTTGCCACTATTTTTTAGACTATTTCTGAAAAATCTTGCCACAATCTATAGCTTGAATCCTCTTCCTTCTTCTTCTTCTAACATCTCTCATCATTACTGTTCATTACTGTTTAGGATG